TTGAAGATCAACAACTCCTGTACGACTTTTATTTATTATTATTATTTTATGTCTGCTTACACAGACATAAAATAAAGAAATCGTAATCTTCACAATAACATTTAGAATTATTCCAGTTATCAAATGTTTCTCCATAGAACTATTTGTGAAATTGTCATTTCAAGGACCATTTTCTCAAACAAAAAAGAAAAACAAAAAGCACACAAAAATGTTTGACATTGGTGTAACAAATGCCTATCCCACAGACTCACAATTTTCCAGGCTTGGACTACAATTTGAATTTACAGAGATATTTCAATATATGATTATTCGTCTTGAATTTTTTTGAATTTTGAACAGTGGGATATTGAAGCCCCCACTGAAAGATCAAGGCTATGCTCACAGTCAGAGAGCAGCCGTCCTCCTGTGGACTCACCACCTGCAGAGGGTCAGTGAGGGGCTGGTGCATCTCTGACTGCCACCCCCCTGACCCAGAAATGGATTAAAGGGTAGAAAATGGATGGATGGATGGATGGGATATTGAAATTGGCAAGGCAAGGCAAGTTGATTTGTATGGCACATTTCATGTACATGACAACTCAATGTGCCTCACAGCAGCACCTAACTGATTTCCCACTAAAAACATTTTTGTAGCTAACATGTCACAGAATAAACCATACATTTTAATATGGCTAGATCTGTTATTCAGATTTCATCGCAGAAAATAGCATTGTGAAATGTACACTCACCTAAAGGATTATTAGGAACACCATACTAATACTGTGTTTGACCCCCTTTCGCCTTCAGAACTGCCTTAATTCTACGTGGCATTGATTCAACAAGGTGCTGAAAGCATTCTTTAGGAATGTTGGCCCATATTGATAGGATAGCATCTTGCAGTTGATGGAGATTTGTGGGATGCACATCCAGGGCACGAAGCTCCTGTTTCACCACATCCCAAAGATGCTCTATTGGGTAGAGATCTGGTGACTGTGGGGGCCATTGTAGTACAGTGAACTCATTGTCATATTCAAGAAACCAATTTGAAATGATTGGAGCTTTGTGACATGGTGCATTATCCTGCTGGAAGTAGCCATCAGAGGATGGGCACATGGTGGTCATAAAGGGATGGACATGGTCAGAAACAATGCTCAGGTAGTCCGTGGCATTTAAGCGATACCCAATTGGCACTAAAGGGCCTAAAGTGTGCCAAGAAAACATCCCCCACACCATTACACCACCACCACACGCCTGCACAGTGGTAACAAGGCATGATGGATCCATGTTCTCATTCTGTTTACGCCAAATTCTGACTCCACCATCTGAATGTCTCAACAGAAATCGAGACTCATAAGACTAGGCAACATTTTTCCAGTCTTCAACTGTCCAATTTTGGTGAGCTTATGCAAATTGTAGCCTCTTTTTCCTATTTGTAGTGGAGATGAGTGGTACCCGGTGGGGTCTTCTGCTGTTGTAGCCCATCCGCCTCAAGGTTGTGCGTGTTGTGGCTTCACAAATGCTTTGCTCCATACCTCGGTTGTAACGAGTGGTTATTTCAGTCAAAGTTGCTCTTCTATCAGCTTGAATCAGTCGGCCCATTCTCCTCTGACCTCTAGCATCAACAAGGCATGTTCACCCACAGGACTGCCACATACTGGATGTTTTTCCCTTTTCACACCATTCTTTGTAAACCCTAGAAATGGTTGTGCGTGAAAATCCCAGTAACTGAGCAGATTGTGAAATACTCAGACCGGCCCGTCTGGCACCAACAACCATGCCACGCTCAAAGTTGCTTACATCACCTTTCTTTCCCATTCTGACATTCAGTTTGGAGTTCAGGAGATTGTCTTGACCAGGACCAGACCCCTAAATGCATTGAAGCAACTGCCATGTGATTTGTTGTTTAGATAATTGCATTAATGTGAAATTGAACAGGTGTATCTAATAATCCTTTAGGTGAGTGTAGGCAATTTTTGAGGCAGTCCTCTGATCATTAATCAGTACAGCTGGTGGTGTTCTACTGGGAGGTCATTATACGTGCATGCATGTGAAACAGCATTTTTCCACTAGAAAAGAACTAAAGTCAGGAAGATGACGAAAAGGAAGGCATACAGTATGCGAGGGTAAGTAAATGGCACGAACATGGTGAACATTCTACTCATTTTACTGTACTATTTGACACAAATAAATAATGATAAATACAGAGAGCATGCTAGCTATCATTGCATATAGCTAATAATGAGTGTGGGATTTTTTAAGTAACCTAGTAGATGTGTTGTGTAGTTTGAGTTATGAGTTATGTTGAATGCAATAATTTTATTTTATTCAGGAATACATTGTATGGGTAGAAAATATTAGTGTGAAGTAGAGGTTAGCTCGGGCCCAAAAAAATCAAGCCCGACCCAACCCAAGCCTGCGGGCCTAAAGCCCGACCCGGCCCGAGCCTGAGCTATTAACTTGAATTGTCACCCGAGCCCGAAAAACCAACGTCCATCCATCCATCCATCCATTTTCTTCCCTTTAATCCATTTCTGGGTCAGGGGGGTGGCAGTCAGAGATGCACCAGCCCCTCACTGACCCTCTGCAGGTGGTGAGTCCACAGGAGGACGGCTGCTCTCTGAGTGTGAGCATAGCCTTGATCTTTCAGTGGGGGGGAAAAACCAACGTAAATTATTTATTTAAGGCTCGGTCAGGAGCATCTGCACAGTGCTTTCAGCAGCAGCGCCGTGTGTGAGGTACGCGCACGTGCACGCAGCAGTAGCGCACCTGGGCAATTAACGTGAACCTGGCCCCCCATCATACTCCAAATGTTATTAACAAAAATATGTCAATCGTTTGTGGTGTTTGTGCTGTTATCCTTTTAGAGATATTAATAATTTGTTTTACTGGTCAGATGTAAGGTCTCCCTGCTCGTTATAACGCCCCAAAACTGGTTAAAATGTGTCAACCTTCTACATCTGTGCTGTTTTGTGCTGGTTCGGTTTTTACTGTAAACTACAAACTAAATTTAAATTACAAACTTTAGAGCCTTGAGCTGACCCGGATCTACCATATGGGAAACCTGGGCACGTGCCCAGGGGCCCTCGGGCATAGAAGGGCCCCCTGCCGGCAGAAATAATAATGGTTGTCTACAAGAAATGGACTCTCGTGATTGTCTCCCTTATATGTCAGTTTGTTGACTTGACAGGTAATGATTGGGAGCGGGTGGCAATGCATTGTGTAGATTGGCTAATGATAATGGTGGGTGGGGCTTAGCAGGTGGTTTCCATATATTGTGTATGTAGTGGAAAGTGGGGGAAAATGGACCTCAGCAGCATCAACAAAAAGCCCAGCGGACATGCAAAGCGCAAGAAGAAAAAAGAAAAGGAAGCGACAGCTATAAAAAATGTTATGCCAATTAACAGCTTTTTCAAAAAAGCTAGAATTGAAGAGGAGGGTTTCGAGCTAGCCAGCAGCAATGTTAGCTTGGAAGCGCCTTCTACCAGTGATGCCCAGCCTGAGCTAACGGCGGCAACTATCCTTACCGGAGAAAATGAAGCGGCATCTATGAATGAAGAGCAAACGGAACAAGGTAATTCGTCAATATCTGAAGACCCTGCACTATGGGGATCGCTTACAGAAAGCACCCGCAAGGACATTTTATTTAAAGGAATCTCAGCTTTTCAAAATCGGGCGGCTAAATATCCGGCTTCACGGAGGGGGAACGACGCAGAGGGAAAGACGCGCTCCCTTACTAATGATGCTCTGACCCGGCGCATCTACAATGGGGAAGCTATTCCACGAGAATGGATTATATATTCACCATCAACGGGAGATATTTTTTGCTTTCCTTGTAAAGTGTTTTCACAAAGCAACAGTGCATTTATTGCGGGGTTTAGCGACTGGAAACACCCGGAGCGAATAACGGAGCATGAAATGAGTGGGGAGCACAGAAGATGCATGCTTTCACTTGCACATCGCAGCAAACATCTGGGCACTGTTGATGCTTCTCTTGGGAGACAGATCGAAGCAGAAGGTCAGTACTGGAAGGATGTTTTGAGGCGTGTAGTTGCCGTGATTAAATTTCTGAGTGAAAGGGGGCTTTCCCTTCCGTGGAGATAATGAACTTTTGGGATCTCCTCACAATGGCAATTACCTCGGAATCCTCGAGCTGCTTGCACAGTTTGATCCGTTTTTAAAGGAACATTTGCAGAAGTATGGTCAGAAGGGTCGTGGCAAGCCTTCATATTTGTCATCAACTATATGTGAGGAGTTTATTAATTTAATGGGAGAAAAAACAAAGCAAGTCATTGCTAGAGAACTTCAGCAGGCAAAGTATTTCTCTGTTATCGTAGACTCTACACCTGATATGTCTCATGTGGACCAGCTAACTTTTGTGTTCTGATTTGTGAGTGAGACAGGAAAAGTGGTTGAGCGATTCATCGGATTCGAACCAATTCACAGTCACACTGGATCAAGTCTGGCTGAATGTGTGATCAAGATGGTCAGTGACTTGGGGCTGGATCTTTCTAACTGCCGTGGGCAGGCTTATGACAATGCATCAAACATGTCAGGGACATATAATGGATTGCAAGCTCAGCTCAAGAAGAACAACCCACTAATGCATTACATTCCTTGTGCCGCACATTCTTTGAACTTGGTTGGTGTGAATAGTGTGGAAAATAGCTGTCGGGGAGCAAGCCAGTTCTTTGACTTCCTTCAATCACTATATGCGTTTTGCTCTGCTTCCACCCACCGATGGAATAAGGTGTTCACTGCAGACATCTCACTGACGCTAAAATCCCTCTCCTGTACAAGATGGAGCTGCCGAGGAGACTCCACCAGCCTGCTTTAGTCCTGCTTTAGTCCTGCTTTAGACCTGCTTTAGTCCTGCTTTAGACCTGCTTTAGTCCTGCTTTAGTCCTGCTTTAGTCCTGCTTTAGTCCTGCTTTAGTCCTGCTTTAGACCTGCTTTAGTCCTGCTTTAGACCTGCTTTAGTCCTGCTTTAGTCCTGCTTTAAGTCCCTCTCCTCCTGCAGCTCA